CACCTTGTGGGAAGCACAGTGAAAAGATCCCCATTTATTGGACCAAGATTCGGCCCAGCTTACCCACTGAGAAACAACATTGACAGGTGGGGAGGAAGGAGGCATGTTCCAACAAGATTTGTCCAGGATTGTAGTATGGTTATCTGATGAAGGCATTCTGAAAAATTCCAATTTTTACACTTGCTGTAACAACTGAACTATTATAACTCATCTCAAATAATCCTATTGTTATCCCTAAATCAGTGTTTTAGTCTGAAAACTCATGATATTGTTATTTTGTAACATTTGGAAATACATGTACACAGCTATAGAGAGGTTGAAGGTAGGAATCACTGTGATCCGACCAGGCCACAGGCAAATAGGCTAGATTTCTCACCATGGGGAATCCCCGTAGCACGCAATGCACTGATCTAAAAACAGCACACACACCATGGCTGTGTTATAAGAAAACTGAACCATGGGCACGAGACAGTCCTTGGTTCATTGTGTCAATGTGTATTTATTTATGCACAGATCCAAAGCATTTTGGGTATATACATGTATGTATTAAGGGTATGAATCATCAACTTATGTCCTGTCATTGAGTCACGACTTGGAGCAGAATTTGTTCTTCCCAAGTGGGTGTGTTTGTTTTCAAGGTCCCAAAATTAAGCCCTAATAACAAAAATATTAACTGGGAAACTGTATTGATGGAGATTTTCAAACAAGAGGATAATTACGGCTGGAGGACAGCATTAAAACACATTGTTAGCAACCAGCACATATCTGACACTCATCACCAATACCTTGAGCTTCACAACTGTGAAGACGTCGAATATGTTGAATATCAACTACTGCAAGCCTGGGAAAACTCAACTTGGATTCTCTATCATCACTGGCGGGACGGTGCGAAGGACAGGTTGACCAGGATACTCCAAAATAACGGCAAAACAAACTTGGTGGAACTGGTGCAGGGTATATCAGATGACAACAGGCAGGGATACGCTTGGTTGAAACTTGTGCTAAAAGCACTACGCATCGAAAACAGGGTGGAGTGGTCAGGACAGCGCATTATTGCAGATTATCATGCCGCACGAAAGCTAAAGCAGAGTTACCTATAAAGAGTTACAACTGGTATCCATATGCTGTAGCATTCTATTGCACATGCAGCGTACAAGGATGACCTCTTATACCAGTTTTGTAGTTGAAATAACACTTTTCATTAAATAATGGTCTGAAAGACCATGCACACCATGTTAGCCCTGGACCCCCCATACATTCATATGCAACATTTGAAAAATTCCATTTTCTTAACTTTGTGTAAAGGCCAAGCACTTGGTCAAGTTGTACCTTTCTCTGACAGATAATCTAATACCTACATGTAACTGTCTGATATTCAAATGATGCAGCGGGTACCGCGAACTATTTTCAAGATGTATTTTTGCGTTGGGGAGATGGGTACCCGCTGCTTCATTTGACTCGGACCGGCCAGCCGACCCCGGCAAGCTCGGTGCTTGAGAGGTTAAGACGTCTGCACTAGTAAGCAGGAAGTCGTGGGTTCAAGTCCCACCCGAGTAAGCTTGTGAATTTTTTCGCAAGCTCTCGGACAAGCACTGAGCATACAGTGTTTATTAATACATACGTTGGGCGAGGGCAAAACCCGGTATAAATTAACATCTCCCCATCACAAAAATACATCTTGAAAAATTCTACACACTCATATAGAACTCGGTAATAAAGCGCCAAACAAGACTCTTGGCACTGTGAAAACTTAAAACAAATAAAGCTTGAAATGAAAATATCCTATTTGCTTTTCAGTATCTATCCTTCCAGTGCACTTTAGAAATGCTGGAACTTTTGATCCATTTTACTTTAAAAACAAATATGAGAGTGGTGTATGGAACAGAGTGATATCTCACTGATCTGTGAAATTGCTGGTCATGCATGGTCGCCTGTTAACTGGCTAAACATTACTGTGCACATACTGAAGCTGGAAAGTACCTCGGTGAGAAATGTCATTCACTGGATTCTAATGTGCGAAACAATCTTTCAAGCCCCGCCCAATAATGATGACATCAGTTTAAATAGCTCACTAACTGCACATGCAAAATTATGGCCTACTTGTCAAAATTTGTCAAATTTGGACACCAATTACGTAGACGTTTCTGTACATGGGGCTTCCCCCTCCCCCAAAGTATAAGTTTTGCAAGACTGACTGTCCCTGCAATTTTACCCATGAAACCCCTACTGTCTTTCACATTCCAACTTCTTATCATGCTTCTGCTCATAAATCATCTTCATTAGCATTTTCCAACAAACGTGTGAAGCTGTGATTAGCGGCAACTTCAGTAGTAAGGTAAGGTTTCTATTGATACGTGATAACAAATTTATCTTCAAGCAAACTTGACAGTAAAGAAAGTAAAGGGAACTGTGCACGCTTTCCATAAAAAACAAACAGTAACACCAATGTACCACAATTCTGCTATTTTATCTAGGGTGCATGGGAATTATTCGTGTTTTAACTGATTTTAATAGCAACAATAACAACAGGGCTTACACTAAGAAAGGAAATTGTTCAGATTGTAAGTGCGTTTAAACACGTGATGATCAACATGGGCAAACACACCACTTTTGAATCACGCAGATGTGTATTTGCTTTTAGCGTAAAAATTGCACAAAACATTCAGTTAGAACAATGCATAACACAGGGTTTGATATGAACTGTGCAAAATGGTTACATCACACTGCTTGTTGCTATGGATCGACCAATCAGAATTGAGAATTTAAGTCTGCCTGAAGTGTAATATTTTGAACCGTTCATAAAACGCCTTGAAAAGCTNATTGTACTGCACCTTGATGACAAGAACAGGAACCTATATCGATCATTCTAGTGTCGACCAGTTTATGGGTGGAATACTGTGAAAACCTTAAACAACTCTACACAATACCGTGTGGTATGCACCCATGGTCAAAAGCCCAGAGACTGTACCCCTTGGACAGTGTTAGCCTATTGGAGTAGGCCTATATTGACATACACAGCATGGGTAAGAGGGTTACATTACAAGCAAGACTAGGAAAACGAAAACAAAAATCAGCAGCGATTTTACTGTACCCAACATCTTAAAGCTAGAGAACACCGTAAATTTGGGATCATCCTACTGAACAGGACTGGACATGTCCAGTTGTTTGCTGTCCGTTTATGAATCAGTGCAGTGACACCATGGAGAGTCCACCCATTTAAAGCTATAAATGTACATGAGCAAGACAAAATCACAAAACGCTCCCTACACCAATGGAATATTCCCGTTACTCATTTTATGCTAATGAGCGGCATGTAGGGCTAAATCCGGCCTTGTGATTGGTCGAGAGGCTGCGAAAACTTGGCAGAATATTCTGGCCAGACCTTGGGCACTACTAATGTGTCCCTAACTCATTTTCATAACTAGAAATCACTTTAGTGTGATCATACTGTTGATACTCAAAAACGATATCAAAGCCACTCCCAGTCATAACTGTAATTATTACACACACACACACATGTAAAGGCCAATGTGTACATAAGGCAAGCTGCTTACAGTGCAGTGCGGCATAAGAGAGGGAAATACAGTTCCTTGGTGCAGTCTGGCCTGTGCCTACTGGATCAGTCTATTGAAAGACTAAATTCTATACAAAAAGTACATCTTGAAATAGTTCGCAGTACTCGCTGCTACACCTGACTCGGACCGGCCAGCCGACCATGGCAAGCTTGGTGCTCGAGTGGGTAAGACGTCTGCACTAATAAGCAGGAGGTTGTGGGTTCGAGTCCCACCCAACTAAGCTTGTGAATTTTTTTGCAAGCTCTCGGACAAGCACTGAGCATAAAGTGTTTATTAATACATACGTTGAGTAAGGGCAAAACCTGTTATAAATTAACATCTCCCCATTGCAAAATACATCTTGAAAAATTCTACACACTCACGTAGAACTCGGTAATAAGGCACAACACAAGACTCTTGGCACTGTGAAAACTTAAAACAAATAAAGCTTGAAATGAAAATATCCTATTTGCTTTTCAGTGTCTATCCTTCCAGTGCAGTTTAGAAATGCTGGAACTTTTGATCCATTTCACTTTAAAAACAAATATGAGAGTGGTGTATGGGACAGAGTGATATCTCACTGCTCTGTGAAAGTGCTGGTCATGCATGGCAGCCTGTTAACTGGCTAAACATTGCTGTGCACATACTGAAACTGGAAAGTACCTCGGTGAGAAATGCCATTCACTGGATTCTAATGTGTGAAACAATCCTTCAAGCCCCGCCCAATAATGACATCAGTTGAAAGAGCTCACTAACTGCATATGCAAAATTATGGCCTACTTGTCAAAATTTGTCAAATTTGGACACCAATTATGTAGATGTTTCTGTACATGGGGCTTCCCCCTCCCCCAAAGTATAAGTTTTGCAATACTGACTGTCCCTGCAATTTTACCCATGAAACCCCTACTGTGTTCCACTTTATAACTTCTTATCATGCTTCTGCTCATAAATCATGTCCATTAGCATTTTCCAACAAACTTGAGAAGCTGTGATTAGAGCAACTTCAGTAGCAAGGCAAGGTTTCTATTGATAGTTTTACTCGATCATTCTGGAGAAAGAGTAAAATTTCCTTTAGGACTAGGCAACTGTAAACTAACAAAAACTCTTCCAATACAGGAACATTTGCAATGCAATTATAGCTATTACACCAGATTCACTTTAAAAAAGATGGAACCCTTCCAAAAGCACATAAAAGGTAATTTTTACTAAAAATACACATTTTGTCTTCCTGGTGTTTTGGGGGGAGGGTAATAAATTGCCTTTTCAGTGTGGACAATTTTTCATTCAAATTAATGAAGTATTTTGATAATTCTCTCAAACTAAAACATTTTAATCCCATTGAAGTTGACGAACTAGTCCCCTCGGGAACTAATATCAACAATTCAACCACAAACTGTATATTAGTTATCACACGAGCGTGAGTTGAACACGAAATAATGTTGTGCATGTGTCCGGTATGCCAAATACCGAGTGGTATACAGGACACAGATGCACTACATTATTCTTTGGTCAGTGAGCGTGATAACAAATTTATCTTCTATTTTATCTATAAGGGAACTATACACGCTTTCCATAAAAAAGAAACAGTAACACCAATGTACCACAATTCTGCTATTTTATATAGGGTGTATGGGAATTATTTGTGTTTTAACTGATTTTAATAGGAACAATAACAGGGCTTACACTAACAAAGGAAATTGTTCAAATTGTAAGTGCGTTTAAACACGTGATCATCAACATGGGCAAACACACCACTTTTGAATCACGCAGATGTGTATTTGCTTTTAGCGTAGAAATTGCACAAAACATTCAGTTAGAACAATGCATAACACAGGGTTTGATATGAACTGTGCGATATGGTTATATCACACTGCTTGTTGCTATGGATCGACCAATCAGAATTGAGAATTTAAGTTTGCCTGAAGTGTAATATTTTGAACCGTTCATAAAACGCCTTGAAAAGTTNGTAATTGGTAGTTGACCCTTCACTCACACTGACAGTGAGGGAACCCTCCCAGGAGATGCTGACATCTAATTTAAAATTTGTGTTGCCATTAAAACCTTTCATTTTCCTCCCCAGCGACACAACTGTCATACTCCACATAACTGGTTTTTTTTGCTTCTATTTCAGAAGATTTTCTGCCGGGATTTCGTTCACCTCTGCTAAGGATTCGGAGGTTTCTGTCCTGATTTTTCTGGAGTACTCCTTTCTCTGAAAAGGTAAGGCATCTATGCTTTTTTTTGTTTCTTTTTTTTATATTTATAAGTACATTTTATTTGAGAGGGGTGTAATTTCTCTAAACTTTCAAGAACACATCTCTTTTAAGAAAATCTAACACCATTTATCTGGAAATGCAACACTTTATTTTACAGGATATTTCATCGAGACTTTCTTTATTGATGTTCTGTTTCATTCCACAGTTATACTTTGCAATGTGGATAAAACAGCTGAATATTAGAAAATTGGAAAAATTTCACAATT